AAAAAGCCACGCGTTACGCCTGACTTCCAAGTTCCGGCTAAGCTCCCTGCTAAGCTTGAATTGTTAGCGTCCCTCTTGCTTGGAAGAACGCTATCCAGTGTGTCCGGGGCTATCCAGTCACAGCTCGGCCACGCCGCACGCTATGAATGAGGGTGAGCTAGACTGGCATACTGGCCCCCTTTCCCGGTCTTGGCTTCAGCGGGTGTGCTCCGCGGTTGCTGCTGGTCCATGAAGTTCCAAGGGCAAGGTTACCACGCACCTGCAGTGGCGCGAAACCGCGATCCCTCCAACGTGGTGGGCAGAGAGACCAGATCAAGTCGAGGAGGAAGCGTCCATACTCGAAAGGTGCCCATCCTCCGTGGCTGGAACCTTCGTGGCGGAATTTCGCCTCCAAAACGGCATCGCTCTGTATCTCCAACTGTTTGTGGCCCTGATCACCGCTTGCCACAGACTCACAGCATGCCCCCCCAGCCTCCAGGCGTTGATAGATGCGGCAGGCAGCGAACCTTCACGGCCTCGTCCCCCTGCACTGCTATACTGGCTTGCTTCTCAGGGATATTCAAGCTTTCATTTGTCAGAGCTGACAAGCCAGGCGCCCAGCCCAAACACCATGGCGAGAGCCTGGTCAGCGAGACATCTTCCCGTCTTCCAGGAACGAGGTTCTATCCCGTTCGTCAACGACCGTGATCAAATTGAATTGTCCGAAACCCATGGCCATACATTTGGGCTGTTTCAAGGTGGCACAAGGGAAGCGCACCTGTTCTTGCACAGCCCGGCCCATCCCGGCTCAACTTCACCACCCTCGCCAAGGGTCCAAATAAATATCGGCAAATATTGCACAAACTGAACGGATATTCCGAGCGCGATAGCTCGCATCTTTTCATGGTCAACGCCTCATATACAGCGAAGAACTGCTGCAGCCCCCTTTCAATCTCCAACCGCCCCCCCTTCTTCCACCGAAGAAACGACCGAACCCCTGCTGGCTGTTTGGACTTCGGTTGGGCGCAAGCTTCCAGAAGAATGTGGGTTTCTCTCTGACAGGGTGATAGCGCGCCCCCGTCGAGCGTGGGGTAAGGGTGGTGAGGCAAGCTCCCCCAAGCCTCGAGGGCCGTGAGTAAATGAATAAGACGGATTCGTTATTGGTGATGGAAGCATGGATTTCGAGATTGAGATTAAGAGGCGGTATCCGTAGCTTGCGGTCTTACTTGGAGTTCAAGTCTACTATGTAACTACTCAATACCTTTGTTATACCAAGCTTCAGTCGGGAAAGTCTATCGTTCTGAGGACTTTCGCCCGGTATGAGGATGGATCTTTGATTTCTCGTCAGTTGCAAGAAGCGATATTGCGATGAGGAAGTATTGGTGTCTACGTATTGGGAGGCTTCAAGCGATTATACCCGGATTCGGAGGTGACGGCTGTCACCTGCGAGACTGTTTTTCCCACTGGGCGGCCTCTGTGGGCTCTGTGGGATTTTCTCGCCTACAATAGACACGTCCCGCGGCAACCGTCACGATGCAGGTCTTGTCACATATCTCGCATCCACCCAATTTAACCGGAAGAGGAGCCTTGAGGGCCAACCCCCGAGCTGTTTGGAACCTCTGTCTCCACAACTCACGCCATGCCGCGCCGCTGATGTGACCGCGAGGGGTACCTAGTAGCCACGGCCGCGGATGCAGACTCCCCTTTCCACCCCTGCCCACGCGATGCCTCGTTGAGAACTTTGAGAAGGGCTGCAAACCAGTCCAGGCGAGTTGGGAACGAGCAGCTAGGACCTGTTGACGAGATGGAAACGGAAAGAGGCAGGAGGCCGGAAAACAGGTCCATCGTAGAATCTGCAGTCACGAGAACTGTGTCAGTTTTTTTCCCAGATGCAGTTACAGATGCAGGTGCGGGAAGGGGTGGTTCAGAGATCGGGCCGGATGAATACGAAAGGAGGGTTGGCGGGAACGGGAAAGGGGAAGCTGCCACGAGCGAACGAACTCGCATCGCGAAAAGGAAACTGTTTCGGGAAACAGCCACATCAACGGGTTGTATTCCTGGCGCGGTATGCTCCAGCTTCAGGAGGGAACGAAGCTCCTGGGCCATCGTTCGAAGCTTCATCGTCCACTGGTCCCCGTTGTCCTCCCCTCTCTCCTGAGGCAACGTGGAACAACGCCCTCCGTGAGAGCAGTTGGTTGATTGTGATTCCGAAACCCTCTGGGGATGATGGGCCAGACAGACATCGAACGAACTGGTTGTCGAGGTACCTAGGGTGTTCGAGGTCCAGGTCCAGGTCTTGAGCTCTGAGCCGGGTGGAAGAAGGAGACTTTTCGTCTGGTTTCCAACACCGGAAAAGACGGAAAGATTCCTTTTGGTGTCTAGGCCACGCCGCTACTGTCGACAAAGTCTCTCGGTGTTGATAGGTATGTTTGAGGGCACGTTTGCATCTGGCAGCGGAAAAAAGGGGCGGGATGGTGGCTTGGGAACAGAAACGCGGACAGGGGGCGAAGTCGGGATGGGCAGCAGGCACAAGGAACGGCTTGCGCATCTCGTATCCTGGCGGGCCAGACAGTCCAGAGATTCCTACGTCACGCAGGGAGATCCCATCCCGAAAAAAGGCAGCGCCGTTTCAGGATGTTGGTCGCCGTGGTTCTCCGTCAGCAGAATTGCTGGGTTTCGAAGGAGATACGGAGATACCTTGTGATGGCCTCGCGTGAGCTTATCGACGGTTAAGTTTTCCTCTGTGCCTGGTGTTTGAAAGAGTGTGTTGGCCAACGAGTCAGAAAGACCGATAGGCCGGTCTTTGATGTGTGCCTTGCATCTCATCTGGAGTGTGAGGGACGTCCATCTCGATGGCGCCGTTGAATGTCGTGCTCAAGCAGCGGCATTTGGCCGATGAGACAAGTAGATGGAGGAAAGAAGCAATTATTCGCCTGTCTGCTTCACAGCTAGGGACGTTTCGGATGAATGCTGAAGACTACGAGGGTTTAATACGTACTACCTAGTGAAACAAACGTGAAGTGGGGGCTGGAAAGCGGCAGTGCAGTGGACCGATCTGCGTGTGTGGCAGGTGAAAGGTGGCTGGTAAGATGTGGCTTCAAAATATTCCGAGACATCGTTTTGTGGCTGAAAACTTGTCCCACGTGTGGCTGAAGCTACCCCTCTACCTTAGTCCGAATGTGGTAAGTGCTTCCAACAACATCACAAGAGGCGTTGAAGATATCAAATTCTGGAGACTGGAGCTCCACAAAGTCAGCAGTTCACACACATGTGGCGATCCCTTCTCTCAAAAGGTTCAATTCCTCTAAGAACAAGCTTCACCCGCCTCACGAACACCCAGAGTCGCGCTGCCGCCTTCGGCACCACCACTGCAAAGATGGCGACCACCTCGGGCAACAGAGACCCCAACACCCTGTCCAACTATGGCGCGTGGCTCACCAAGCACACCACCGCGAACCTGACTATTGACTTTAAGGACAAGTCCCTCAAGGGCTCCGTCACTTTGGAGCTTGAATCCCTGACGGACCGTCAGAGCAAGGAGATCATCCTCGACTCGAGCTTCCTCTCCATCTCTGGCGTAAAGGTCAACGACGCAACTTCGACCTGGGAGCTCAAGGACCGCGTGGAGCCCTACGGAGCCCCTCTGCACGTATTCGTGCCCCAGGGCGCCACCAAGGGCGAGGTCGTCAAGGTCAACGTCGATCTGGCGACGACGGACAAGTGCACCGCCCTGCAGTGGCTCACACCCGCGCAGACGAGCAACAAGAAGCACCCGTACATGTTCTCCCAGTGCCAAGCCATCCACGCCCGCTCACTGTTCCCCTGTCAGGATACTCCGGATGTCAAGTCGACGTACACGTTTGTCCTCGCCTCGCCCCTGCCCGTCGTCGCCAGCGGCGTCCTCGTCGAGGGCTCTGGCCAGGAGGAGAAGAGGGGCGACGATACGGTGTACCGCTTCGAGCAGAATGTCCCCATCCCTTCATACCTGTTTGCCCTAGCCTCGGGCGACATCGCTACGGCGCCCATTGGCCCGCGAAGCATCGTCGCGACGGGGCCCGACGAGCTCAAGGAGTCGCAGTGGGAGCTGCAGAACGACATGGAGAAGTTCATGGAGGTCGCGGAGAAGCTTGTCTTCCCCTACCGGTGGGGTCAGTACAACGTCCTCGTCCTGCCACCCAGCTTTCCCTACGGTGGTATGGAGAACCCGATTTACACGTTTGCGACGCCGACCATCATCAGCGGTGACAAGCAGAACGTCGATGTTATTGCGCACGAGCTGAGTCACTCGTGGAGTGGAAACTTGGTTACCAGCTGCAGCTGGGAGCACTTGTGAGTGAGAGTCTGGCGTGGGAATCTGTGACAAGGGGGCTGCTAACGACGTGAAATAGCTGGCTAAATGAGGGCTGGACCACGTACCTTGAGCGCCGTATCGGTATGGCTGTTCACGGTGACGCGGAGCGTGACTTTTCTGCCATCATCGGCTGGAAGGCCCTCGAGGACGCCGTCGCTCTGAACGGCGCCGACTCCGAGTTCACCAAGCTCATCATCAACCACAAGGGCATCGACCCCGACGATGCTTTCAGCACCGTCCCCTACGAGAAGGGCTTCCACTTCCTCTACTACCTCGAGCGCCTCGTCGGCATGGACGCCTTTGACAAGTTCATCCCCCACTATTTTACAAAGTGGTCCCGCAAGTCTCTCGACTCGTTCGAGTTCAAAGACACCTTCCTCACCTACTTTAACGGCCTCGGCGACGAGGAGATCAAGACCAAGGTCGCCTCCATCGACTGGGACACGTGGTTCTACCAGCCCGGCCTCCCGCCCAAGCCCGTCTTCGACACCACCCTGGCCGACGTGTGCTACAAGCTGGCCGAGAACTGGAAGGACGATTCCTTTAAGCCCTCCGCCGAGGACGTATCCTCCTTCTCCGGCAACCAGAAGCTGGTTCTCCTCGAGACCATTGAGAAGTTTCCCAGCCCCTTGTCCGCTGACCGCGCCCGGCTGCTGGGCACGGCGTACGACCTCGTCTCGTCGCGCAACGCCGAGCTCAAGACGGCGTACTACAAGATTGCGCTGGCCGCGGAGGACTCTTCCGCCTACGAAGGCGCCGCGGAGCTGTTGGGCCACGTGGGTCGCATGAAGTTTGTGAGACCGCTTTTCCGGTCGCTCAACAAGGTCGATCGCCAGCTCGCGCTCAAGACGTTTGAGAAGAATAGGGACTTTTACCACCCCATTTGCCGTGGTATGGTGGAGAAGGACCTCGGGCTTGTGTAGATGAAATAATATTATGAGGTTTTGACCAAAGAAGTCGATGTCTTTGAACAAAAGGGCCCTTATGACGTGAATGCTTCCCGGATCACGCGGTTGTGCTGGAAGGGGTCCTGAATGATTTCGGCATAGCTTTCAAGTTATCGACCACCAAGGCCTTTCTTTGCATTCATTGCTGCCTCTATGAGCTGGAGAAGAGGTCGGGTCACAACACATGGATTTTCTTGATCATGATCATATGCCATCTCCCTCGGTGTCAAACCGTCTTTGTACTTTCCACGAGTGCTTTCCCCATGCTTCAACAGAAGTTCAACCATGGCAGCGTCGTCTTGCCCAATGGCAAGGAAGAAAATTTTCGTACCCCCGTTAAGCTCCGCCCATTTCCAATCGCCGCTTATTTTCCAGAAGGGTTTGAGCTATATCCTCGTAAATGATAGATCTCAAGGTAACGAATACGTTCGTGCCGAATTATTGAGATAAGAAAAACCAGACAATTTCACAGCTTGGGGCTTTGATCGCTCCGTAAAATGTCAAAGCCGTCAATGATGATAAGCAGACGTGAGCCTTTAGCCGCAGCTTCCATGAGAGCGTCCAGTAGAGCTAGCAATGAAGGCAGCTTGCCATCTTGCAGATTATCATGGTGAATATTTTGTCAATTCAGGTACACCATCGAGGATTTGTCTTATGAAGACTTCAAAGAAGTGTCTCAGTTGTTCGGTTCTGACGCTGAGAGGGGTAGAAGTAGTAGACGACGCGAGACTCAAACGCTTGGAATCGTCCAGTCACATCGTTGACAATTGCAGCTTCCAAGACAGATTCTCCAGCATCTGGTAGGCCATGGGGGATAAGCATTTGCACCTCATTAGAGACCGATCATTGGGACTCATTCGATTCGAGGAACCATTTGAGAGTGCCAGGGTGCCACTGTTCGAGGAAAGAGGCGTACGCAGTCGTGTAGTCTTCTGGAACGAACCAGTCCCAAACCTCGCTGTGTGATTCGTGTTTAGGAATGTCTTCCAGTCCTTGCTTGGAGTCCTACCGCTGGCCTCCAGGCATGTGGCTTCATTTTCAGAGAAAGGTGGGGGTCAAGGAACCTGCATCAGAGAAGGTCGGATTGACTGAGTTGAGAGATGCCACAGACCTCCCCCACCTTGAGCAATTCCTGAACCGTTTTTCGTTGGTCGATCATCGTTATCAGCGTCTTCATCTCCGTTCTCCGTGCTTTTTGGTACGGAGAATAAGGCGAGCCGTTCCACGTTGGAAGCCATGTGGTTGGTGAGATCCTCTTCAAAAGGGCCAGATGACCAACAAAAAGGACACTCAGTCCGCGAACTAGTGTGGACCTGTTTCAAGATCTCCTTGAGATCTGTATATTTCCGAGGGTGGTATGTGATGGTTCAAAATGTCGAGCTAGTTCGGCCTTCGATCGGAGCAGATCTGAGTGTTCGAAGCACCTCCAAACTCTATGATGCTTGAAGTGAAGAACGAATCAACTATGGTCATGCAGCGGCTGGTTTCAAAGAGCCATCGAGTAATGTCTTCACTTTTCTAGGCAGCTAGATGCGTCCTTTGAAGATTCGGAATTTGTGCGGTCGATAGAGGAACACGTACTGGAGCCATTGGAGCGCGCAAAATGCAACACTTTCTCTCTGGGTAAGAATTCTATATGCATCCATATCAGCCTTCGCGATGTGCTACTGTACAACACCGGATGCTTCATAGGCAGTGACGATTACCGGATGGGTCGAGGGACTACTTGAGTTATGAGCAATAGTTAGTTCTTCACACAAATTATGAGAAATTGCTTAATGAACTAGTTTATTGTGTCTAAAACTTTCCCTTCTAATCATCAACGACGTCAATGTTCTCCTGCCCGAATCCCACCATATCACAACTTCGATTGCTCCTGTACCGAAAGCTTCCGCAGCACCGGACCAGCACGACTACCATCTCCCGAAAACCCAAACGGCTCCTCACTGCTCGTGGGTCGTCTCAACCTCCACTTCTCCCGCAACGTCGTAGACGGCTTGCGCTCGAAGCTATCAGCGACCTGCGGGCCAATGGCAGGAAGGAACTTGAAAGCACTATTTCCCTCGACGTTAGCACTGAAAGGGCCGATAAAGGTGTCAAGCAAACTAGACATGAAGAAAAGGGAAGAAGGAGTCCTTACTGTCCAGCGCCACCAGTCGCGAAGAACAAGCCCTCCAAGTCCGGGTGATAGTCGGCGATAAAGTCTCCCTCAGGCGTGTCGGTATACCAGCACATCCTCCGGTAGCACCACTCCCTCTCAGCAAACTCGGGGAAGAACAACCTCACGCCCTCCCTCAAACCATCGTCCGCGTCCTGCGGTAAATACCCAGACGCGGCATTGCTCTCCTTCAGCTTCGGCGTCGAAATCGTCCTCCGCCCGGCTCCGCCCTCCTCGACCTCGACCTCAGTCGCGAACCCCCAACCGTGCCTCGCGAGCTTCAGCAGGTTCGTCCCGGGCGTCGGCGGGAAGCAAAACACACCCGTGTCCATGTTAATCATGACGGGCATATCTCTCACCCGATCCGCCTCCTCGTCCGTAAGCCGGATAAAGCCCACCGGCTGACCCGATGCCGACATGGCGTGTCCCATCCCGGGCACGATCCGGTTCGTCCACGCGCCGGTCGCGAGAACGACCTTGTCCGCCGACATGGTCATCCCCGCCGCCGTCCGCACGCCCGTCACCTTCTTGCCGGACCGCTCAAGGGAGACCACGGTCCCGTGACGGCCCGTGACGAACGACACGCCCGCGAGCGTACACCGCCCCGCGAGCGCTCTAATCGCGCCCGCCGCATCAGCCCACCCGCCCGAGGTGTTATGCGTGGCTGTGAAGACGCCCAGGTCGGCCTGCACGCCCTTGTAGCGCCTCTTGACCTCCTGATCGGCGTGCGGCGGCGGAAAAAATTCCTTTGCCGGCCGGCCGCCGCTCTCCCAGTTGCGGAATTTGTCAAAGTAGGCGCTCGGCCCCTCCCGCTCGTCGGCCATCATGACGAAGCCCGACTCGTGGTAGTGAGGGCCGAAGAGCTCCGACGTCTGCCAACCGCGTAGGGCGTCCGTGGCCAGGGCGGCGTAGTGCGGGTCGATGTACTCTGTGCGGATGATGCGCGAGACGTCGACGGAGCTGCCATCTGGGACGGGCGGGAGGAAGCGGTCTAGTATGGTGACAGAAGTGTAGCCGCGGTTGGTGGTGAGTTCGTAGGCGAGAGAGAGGCCGAAGACGCCCGAGCCTACGACGAGAATTGTTGAGTCTTTGGATGTCATTGTGTTTGAGTTGTGGACGTGGGTGTAGATGAGAAGGGGTTATGAACGGCACCGGCACGGAACAAACAAGAACCTTGAGATAAAAACACCCTGGGACGAGCGATTCACTTCTGAAGGTGAGAGGAGAGCTTTGTGAGGTAAGATAGCATATGGACAGATATAGTTCCGAGATGAGTGAGTCCCTTACGAGGATTGCCGCTTGTTATAGCCATCAATTTATCAGGACAATCAACATCGGTGCAAGGCCCGGTGGGAGGTGAGCCGGAGTGGGGACGGGCCGGGCGCCGTGCCCACATTAAGCAGAGGTGCTGGAGCCAGGCGGGGGAAGGCGTGGAGCTCGTGGAGTTCGCCGCAAGTCTTCCGCGCGAGAAGAGCAAATGAGAAGAGAGGAAACGCCATCAGGGCGGGAACCGTGGGACGATTGGCATCTGAGTGCATCCCGTCATGTCGGGCCTCCGGAGTCGGAGCTGTGGGGTGTAATTACGGGCCTCTGCAGGGCAGTTATGCTGGTTCTCCCCGATGTGGGTCCGGCCGGCTTGTGTTCCGGGGTCACTTGAAACTTAGACGCTGCTGCTCTGGTCACCAAGAAATGCGACGCGAGGCAACGAAGGTATCACGAACAATTCATAGACGTGCTACCGATCCTGACCCATCCTGAATAGGTACACTTTCCAACGTGGAAGGAAAAAAAAAACAACCCTTACGCAACCCTCACAGCACCGTCATGCCACGTACAACAAAACTTTTCAGTGGAACTGGTCCTCGGTCACGCCTTTACCCATGGCAGCGGTACTGCTGATGCCGCCGGTGACCATCTTTTGCAGCTCGTCCACGTACGTGGCGCCGCTCCATTTCTGGTGCTTGACGACATCGACCCCCGAGTCCATCTCAGGCTCCTGCACGAGCTCTCCGTACGCACGCATCCCCTGCTGGCTGTACGCCTTGGCGAACTTGTCGCTAATGAGCGCCGTCGTGTGCAGGCCTGCGAGAGTGATGAACTGCCAGCAGTAGCCGAGCGTCGCGAGGCGGCGGATGTACGTCTCCTGCTCGGCGCGGGGCATTGCCGTCTTCCAGTTGAAGGAGGGCGAAAGGTTGTAAGCGAGCCTGGATGAAATAATGGTTAATTGACCACAAGTCTAAAATTTGGAGAGCTTTCTTCGCTGCGCTGCGCTGCGCTGGACTGTGTGACTTACTTCTGTTCGGGCCAGACAGCGTGAACGCCCTTGGCAAACTCTTGCGCCTGCTTGTAATCAGGCAGCTTGCTCTCCATCCAGATGGCGTCGCAGTAGGGAGCATACGCAATAGCACGGTTGATGGCGCAGTCGCAGCCGCCCTTGAGGCGGTAGTAGCCCTCGCGTGTCCTCGGGGAGTTCCAGTCAAAGTGGATATCGGCGCCGAGGATGCCCTTGGCGATGGCGCGGGCCTCGTTGTTGCTCTTGCCCTTGGCCGCGGCGGTGTACTTTTGGACCAGGCTGTCCTTGTTCGGCAGGGGCGCGGCCTTGATGGCGTCGACGACGGCCTCGTCGAAGCGCTTCAGGTTGGCCTGCTTCAGCCAGTTGTCCTCGATGGCCTGGAGCTGGTCGCCCGTCTTGCCAGCCAGCTCGGCGGCGATCATGAGGTCGTTGAGGGGTTGGAGGCTCGGGTTCGTGGAGCCGAGGATGAAAGCGTGGTCGCGGGGGTCGATGTTGGTACTGAGGAGAGTGGCGGCCTCCGCGTCGGTGCGAGCGACAGCGACGAGGTTGGAGCCCATGATGTCGGCCTGTGCGCGGATGGCGACGAGGCGGTTGATGTGCTCCTGGATGGGGACGAGGACTTTTCCTGCCATGTGGCCGCACTTTTTGGTACCGGGGGCCTGGTCCTCGATATGGATTCCTGCGGCGCCCTTTTCGATGAAGAGCTTGGTGAGCTTCATCACGGCCGTGAGACCGCCGTGGCCGGTGTCGGCGTCGGCGATGATGGGTCGCAAGTAGTCAATGTTGGCGAGCTTGGCGCGAGCCTCCTTGGGCACGCTCAGGCGCTCCTGGCGCTGTTTCCGGTCGTGGAAGAGTTGGGCCATGAACAGGTGAGCGACCTTGTTGGGCACGGTGGTCTGTAAAGTCAGGTTAGCCATGGAACAGTCGGTGGGGAGTATATCGTCGTAAAAAACTCACGTAAGGGTAGTCTGCCAGATCCGGACCGGGCTCGTCCGAGGCCGAGGCCGTTGACGATGATTGCCAACCAGAGACGTAGACGGTGTCGAGATACTTGGCCATCTGGGTGACCATTGTTGGCTCCAGACAGCCGTAGGTGTAGCTGGCGTCCTTGTTCTTGAAGCGGTTCTCGAGTATGTCGAAGAGCTTCTTGGACTGAGCGTTACTAGGGTACTCGATCTTGAGGTGGCCTCTCTTGGAGACGATCTGCTCTGCAGAGAAGGATCGCTTGGTGTTTTTCCATCGCGGCTCGCTCCACCACTTCTTGACTTGCTCGACCTCCTTTTGGAAAAGGTCATCCTCGATATTCGGGTCCACAGCGGAGTTGACCATGTTGTTAGCAGCCATGATGAGCAATCTGTGGATTTGAGCTTGTGGAAAGATGATGCTATTCTGAAATTTTGTAGGATAGGAATTGTAGGAGGTTTCTCGGCAACGATAGGCTTCGAGATGGGGTATATGTGAATCGAGGCTGGACAGAAATACTTAGACACTTGGCAGGCCGGGAAGAAAACGTGTAGCACCAGACTAATGATGCTATTCACAACTCAATTGACAAGTGATCACCAAGTTTGGGGGAAGAGAGTTAAGGTGCTTGAAGGGGCAGAAGAGGAGAGAAAGAAAGTCAATCTTAAAGGAGTCACAAGCCAAAAAAAAAAAAAAGAGGTAGGTCACGGCATAAGAATAAAGAAGCAAGCACTAGCTGGGCCATGGCCGCCATCGGCAGTGTTCGGCCAAAAGGCGTTCCTGGACCAATCGTCTTACATCTGTTTCGAGGCTTGTACCTCTGACCTCTGGCCCAGGCCAGTTGATGGACAGTGTGGATTACGCGGTGAGGGTGACTCGCCAGCCCTCCATTCGCCCAGCCAGTCACGCCAGTTGTAGGTATGGAAGGCATTAGGCGAGTGTCTATGGCAGGGCGAAGGAAATATTGGCTGGGGGGCCAGGACCGTGGGTAAAACAAGCCTCGGAAGCTGAAAATAGTTCGGAACGGGCTCCAGGCCCAAGTACCAGATACTTTTGAATGGTCTTCCTCCCCTCGTGGTCTGTTCCGTGTAGAGGAGGCCCTTTCTCCTTGTTGATGTGCTTGGCGTGCTTGGTGTGGGGGAACGGAATGCTCTGGGGGGGGTAAGGTGACTGACAGTGTGACTGATGGACTGGCTGAATGTCTGACAGTCAACCTGACTTGAGCCGGGCTGTAAGTATGAGCACTGAGAAGTAAGGCAGATAGGAGCAGTGTGAGAAAGGGGTGACGTCGGACGAGAGGTCTGGATTCGGCTCAAAGGGGAAGACGGATTTGGGGCGAAACGCAGCCAGCTTTCCTCATTGCCGTCATTGGCCGAGTTGCCGAAGCTCCTTGCATGTCCCCCGCCGTGCCCCGCCATACGAATGCCCTCCCGCTATCCGTACCGTACCTGGGGACGCTGGGGAAGTAGCAACCGGGTTGCAGAATATTTTCCCATGGCCCGACTGCACGCAGTTCGACAACTGACATCTGCCGGCTCCCGAAATTCTGCAACGCCATGTCCCGACTGTTTCCTGTACTCGGTGCTCCGGTTCAGACTTCTCACTTGCTCGTCTCTGTGTAATCCGGGCAATTGCGAAACAGACAATTCATCTGGTAATTAGCGAACAGAAAGAATACAAAGGCCGACCGTCGAGCTGCTCCCCCAATTTGTGGCGCGGGGTAGCGGCTCTCGAGCATGTGAAGAGACTGTGCCTGAGTCGGCCCCCATTCCTTTGGCGCCAGCGCAACCCAGAGCTGATCACGCTTTCCTGGCGTGCGTCACACTTTCTGGCCTCAGCTTCTCCAACTTGGGGGTGAAGGGCCAGAAGATACCTCGGCCCTTGTCATGTCACTGTACCTCGCACCGGATCCAGCCGCCGTTGCGAAGATGCTTCCGGAATTACCCTATCCTCTCAAAGTCTCAGTACGTCATCGATGAATGTCAGTCACATGCCCTACCTGCCTCACACTTAACACCACAGGTCATCCTCTTGCCACACACCTTGGAACTCCATGAGACTTGATGAACCTCCCTGCTTTCACGGAAGTTGCCCGATCGACACGTGCCGAACCCAAACCGAATCCATCGCTGCCTTCTTCTCGTCCCATATCACCACCATGTCACGTCAACCTGTACACGTTTGGATCGCATTGGGTGGATATCTGGTTTGGCTTTGCAGCCAGTCTAACCTCTTTCAACAGTCTTCCAGACCCTGCCCATCCCTCCTTTCGTGTCTCGATACAGCCAAGCCGTATCCGAATTGTCATGCATATTCCATTTAACGTCAGTCCTTCGCAAACTCCTTTCCCAACCTCCCAACATCCGACGTGCCGCGGCAAGACGCGAGAGCAAATGCAGACCCCTCTCGAGGCCAGCCTAATTCGATGTGAGACTCGACAACAGGACCTGTACCGTTTTTGCCAGCTTTTCATTGCGTATTCCAATGGCCCATTGTATGCGTTTTGTGTAGCTTGCTTCCCACAACCATTAAAGCTGCTTACAGAAGCTCGGCGAGTTGCTTCTCATTGTTTTCTTCAATGGCCCTCACAAAGGTCTCATACGGGGTAAGCGTTCCTAGAGCACGGCGCATGTGTGCATTGACGATTTGCAGGCCGTACACATAGCTTGCGTTGACCCATCCGAATCTGGTCCTTGTTAGCAAATCAATCACAGGATATCACAGACACAGACGGCATACCCTTCTTTGGCGACACCCTTGAAATCGAGGCCTTGGTTACCATACTCGGCATCGACCCTGTGGGGATCAATTGGTCGAGTTACGTCGTACTTCTCGACAACCACTCCGTTGAAGTCAACAAAGGCCTTGGTCATCATGAACAGCCATTTGTACGCCAAACGCTCGGCCTCATCAGTGAAGCTGTATCGAACGAGTCCGGTCCAGGCGAGCATCTGCTGAGGAGCCCAGCCGTAGGGGTAGTCCCATTGGCGGTTAGGCCGCTCCAGGCCAACGTCGCCTCGGGACTTCTTTGTGCCCGAAAGCAAACCACCGACAGCCTCAAACTTGGGCAGAGCCTTCTGAACCATTGCTGCCGCTTGCTTGGGCGATGCCACGCCAGCCCATAAAGCCCAGAAAGTGGTGCAACTTTCATAGTCACATTGCTCTTTCTTGGCAGTGTTGTAGTCAAAGTACATACCTGCCTCCTCGTTCCAGAGATACTTGTCAATGGCGAGCTTTCTGCGCTTCGCCCGACGGTCCCAGATTGCGGAAGTAACCACTTCGCCAGCCTTGAGCGGTCCAACAGCGAATTCATCAGGGATGACGAGCTTATCGTTGAAAACGTTCCGAATGGTGCGGGCAATATCAGTCTCATACTTGAAGAGAAGCGAGTTCAAGTCAATGGTCGCGAGATCGGCGCAGATCTTCTCAAGTCGGTAGGATGTGTCGTGGCCCGACTCACGCACCGCTCGGTCGTGCAGGAAGTAGTCGTCCAACTCCGGCTCCTTGATTTTGCCGTTATTGTAGGCCTGGACGAACTCTTGCCAGGTGATGCCGTGCTTCTCGGCGTAGGGCTCGAGAATGTGGACGAAATGGTTTGCTTCCGTCTCGGGTGGAACACCCAACCCTTCAGGACGGTATCTCGAGAGACCAGTCACAGGGTCCAAACGTGGCTCAGCGACCCAAACACTGTGATACTCCTTGATGGCGGCGAGCATAGATGTGCGAAGGAATTCCTTGGCATCGGGTTCATGCTTGATCTTCTCGTAGACGCGGAGTGCCATGTCCGTGAGGAAGGGGGGCTGAGAACGGCAAAGGTAGTAGGAACGAGTGGCGTTCAGAACTTTGCCGTAATGACGGATACAGAAACAGAAGTTCTGTACCATTGACTTGGCGAGGTGGACTTTGTCGTTGACCAGAAGACCAAGGGACTCCATGTAGCTGTCCCATCCGTAGAGCTCATTGAACCGTCCTCCCGGCACCACAAAGGGAAGGCCCCTGAGTGTATCCTCGCCCGTCTTTGGATCCTTGATCTTCTCCATCTCGACCGCGAGAAGGCCTGGCTTAGCATTCATGTCGCGAACGAGCTCGGGAGTGATAACCTCAGGAAGCTTGACAACATCCAACCGGATCTCTGGGCGATCTTGAGCTACCTTGGTATAAAATTCGAACTGGTCCGGAGCTCCGACAGGAACATAGATACGCGGACGCGGGTCATCAGTCCAGTCCTTGGGGTCCCTGGCTGCAATCTCCACGCTCGAAGCATCAATTCGTCTCGTCAATCCTTCCCAAAAATGGTCTTTTATAAGTCTCGACAATCGGTTCACGGGGTTCTCGTTCAGGCGGCCCTCGTCAAGGATAATTTGTTTGCGGCCGTATTCTTTGGCAAGGGACAGCTCTTGCAACAGGTTGGAAAGCATGTAGGTTCCACGGACATCGAAACGGTTGTGACCCGCGGAGGCTGCAGTTCTCAGAGACCAGACCTGCGCCGCATCATTATCAGCTTGATTGTCTCCTCCTGGGTAGTGGGAGGCGGCTGTGGGGTCATATCCGTACCTTGGGACCATTGTCCTCAATGGTGATTTGCATGTTTCCATCGGTATCTTCTTGAGCCTGCAAGCTCTTGAGCGTCTCGTCTACTTGGATAAGGAACTTTCGATTCGCGAGGATGGAGGACTCGTCTGCAGGATTTGGGGGTCAGCATATCAGCAGTCAAGGATAGTGCGGGAAATGTAAGCAGGAGTGGACTGACCGTGACTGCCTCTTCGGAACGGTTCGCGAAGTCCCATACGCTCGAATTGTTGAAACAAGCTGTTCTAGCAAAAATCAAGTTGGCATTTTTCCAAAGACAGGCCTGGGGACAGACAACAAGCGGTCAGGCATGCGTGATCGGCGGGGACAACGTACTTGCGAATAGGTTCTGGTTCTTGGTCCAGCGCGATTGACGTGGCGCTCCTCTGAGGTATAGTAGGTTTTGGCATCGTCGAAGACGCCATTGCCTTGGTCCTCGCTGCCACCGCGAGGGCGACGTTGACTCGTCGGAGAAGTCATTGTGCGCAGCTTAAGCGGAGTCGTTCGCGGCGATAGCTGGTAGGAGCAGACAGGCGAAGGTTTCAATTGCTCGTTCTGAAGGGGTTAAGTTGCCAGATCCGTGTTGAGCGAGAGGTGGACGCCGAGCTGACCGGAATCGAACTTGTAGGAGTGTCGAACGAAAGGAAAGAAAAGATATTCGGCAACAACAGGATCGGGGCGGTGTAGGGAGTTTGCTCGGTGAGAGAATGGGGGGAAATTGATGTGTGTAGGAATCCGTGTCACGAGGACCCCCAATGTGAGTGGGAAGAGACAAGGGCGGCGCGCGGGATGTGTTGGCTGATGCGGTCTCAGGTCTTGGGGTCTTCGGGTCTCGGGCTAGGTAAGCTAAGCAACCAAGGTAAGGTACTTCCGCTAGGCAGGCGCAACAGGTAGGAAAGCAGGTAGGCAAGAGGTAGGTAGGTAGGTAGGTAGGGTTGCAGCTGAAGCAAGGTACCTTACACAGCTTCCCGCAGCTGACAGCGAGTAGCAGGCTAGCAGCACCCTTTTGCTCTTTCTCGGCAATGTACCTTACGTTTGCAGAAATCTGTGCGCTCGTACTAATTGTAGTGCTGCACACTTTTCTCCGGCGTGGGACGGAACAACTGTCGGAGATGCTGAGTTGAACTCGCTCGGGTATCGTGTGTATTTAATGTGTCGTCATAGGGAAAAAACTCCAGAGATACGAGAGCCTTCACGACTCTTATCCTGCGAATCCGGTTCCAATTCTTTAAATGGAGCCAAGTCGGGTACCAATGACGCTATCGCGCCAGACGTTGCTTTTCCAGCGGTCCCCCCACGCCCGGTCCCCCATCCTTCTCGCCTCGCTGCACGCTGCGGTGAGAGGTGCCGGGTAAGGCGTGGCCCAGGAACACCGGAGAAGCCAATCAGCCGTCGCCGGGCCATAATCGATCCACCCAGTGCTCTTGGTCCAATCACGGGCAAACTCGGCCGTTCCCCGCTACCTTGCCCGTCTGCTGCATCTGAACCGTCGGCCCAAGCTTTATCCATCATCACAAGTCTAGTTCAATGGCGGTTACAAGCAAAATACATTGTAGAGCTCCAGACTCTGTCAGCTTCCAAATTGCTCTTCAATTGAGCCTCACGCAACATTCCTCGACACATTGGCACCCGCCTCCGTTGCTCGGTGGAACATGGTCCAAGTTGGGGTAGGTATGTGTACCCCGCGGACTCTGAGACCCTGGAACATGGCGTCCCGTAGCTTCATCCGTATCAAGCTTGCCTCAGGCGCCGCCAGCGGAGTTTCCGCCGCCTGTATTTCCATCTTTGCTTTTTCTTTTCTGCTTCCTTTTTTTTTTTTCTCGGTCGGCCGTTGATGGCTTTCCAATCT